AATCCACGAACCAAACACTGAAAATATTTGGGGGGGGGAAGGAGGGGAAAAAAAACAGGGGACACAAAATAAACCCCAATAAAAATATCAAAAAAAAAAGATAAATTGGGAGAGAAGAAGTTAAAGCTCTCAGCACGGGGGGGACCCCAAAATTGGGGGGGAGGACCCCAAAACTGGGGGGAGGGACCCCCAACCCCTCCCCCACTCTGTACACGCGGGGGTCCCTCGGTCCAGGCCTATGTACAGCCCCCCTGGCGGTCACTCTGTGGCCACCCTGGCGGTCATTCTGACCACCCTGGCGGTCACTCTGTGGCCACCATGGCGGTCACTCTGGCCACCCTGGCGGTCACTCTGTGGCCACCCTGGCGGTCACTCTGTGGCCCCCCTGGCGGTCACTCTGTGGCCACCCTGGCGGTCACTCTGACCACCCTGGCGGTCACTCCTTGCGCTTGGCCACGGCCAGCTCCAGGCCGGGCAGGCGGATGGCGGCGCGGGCGACGCCCTCGGAGGAGGACGAGGAGGACAGGCGGGACTTGGGGGACCCCGGCGCCTGCCCCCCGTCCTCGGGGCCGGCCGTCACCTCGTAGCAGCCCTTGGCCTTGGAGCCGATGCCCCCGAAGGTCCCGAACTTGCCCTTGGGCTGCCGGGCGCCGTCGGGCTCGGCCGCGTGCTCGTCGCTGAAGGACGACGAGCGCGCCCGCGGCTTCTTGCTGCGGAACAGCGAGAACTTGGCCTTGGCCGCCGGCGCCTCGGCCTCCGGCTCGCCCTCGGCCGGGCCCAGGCTCGCCTTGGAGCTCTTGAGGTCGCCCTTGGAGCCGGACACGGAGCCGGACGCCGCCTCGGGGGAGCCCGGGGCGCCGGCCCGGCCTTTCTGCTTGGAGAAGTTGAACTTGGGCATCTTGAGCTTGGATTTCTTCAGCCGCGCCTCGGCCTCGTCCGGCTCCGGCTCGGCCGCGTCGGCGCCGGGGAAGTCGACGTCCACCCCGACCTCGCGGCCCTTGGCCTCGGGCTCGGAGAAGACGAATTTGGGCATGCGCAGCTTGGGGAAGGACACCTTGACCTGGCCGCCCTCGGCGCCCAGCTTGGGGCAGGAGGCGTGGAAGGTTCCGGAAGCGGCGCTGACCGACGGCGGCGTCGCCTCGGCGCCGCCTTTGACCTTCGGCCCTTTCACGTTGACGTTCAACCCCGAGCTGGACACTTCCAGGGCCGGAGCCTCCAGGTGGACGCCCACCCCTCCATGGGGGGCTTCCACGCTGACCTTTGACCCTTTGATGTCGCCGGCCGCGTCCACGTTTGGTCCTTTCAGCCTCAGGTCGGCGTCCGGCGCGGAGAATTTCGGCCCTTTCAGCTCCACCTCGGGGCCTTCTAGCCCCAAAGCCGAGCCCTTCAGCCCCGCCTTGGCCTGGGGGCCCTCCAGGGCGACCCCCGCGTCCCCCCCGTCCGCGCCGGGGCTGGAGATGCTGAACTGGGGCAGCTTCAGCGACGGGAGCTTGATGGTGCCCCCCAAAATTTCCAAGCCGGACTCGTCTGCCGACACCTGGGGGGGTTTGACGCCGACGTCTCCTTTCAACTTTGGTCCTTTCGCGTTGACATCCAAATCCAGGCCGGAGACGTCCAGCGAGGGCCCCTTGAGGTCCAGGGTGGCCCCCGGGGACTGGACGGAGCAGGGGACGCCCCCCTGGACCTCCAGCGTCGGGGCCTTCACCGTGGGCAGCTTCACCTTCCCCCCGAGGCCGCCGAGGTCCAGGCCGGGCGCGTCCACAGAGCCCGAAATGTCCAAATCTCCCTTTAATTTTGGTCCTTTCAGGTTCCCCTCCAGCTCGGGTCTGGAGATTTGGGGCCCTTTGAGCTTCACGTCCACCTCCGAGCTCACGTCCGGCATTTCCAGCCCCAAACCCGTTTTCCCCCCCTTGGGCCATCCCAGGTTCACCTCGGGACCTTCCAGTTGTGCTCCGGCCATGCCAACTTCACCTTTCACTTTTGGTCCTTTCACGCCGACGTCCGGCGCCGCGGCCGAGGGGACGGTGACGTCGATCCCGGGGGCGCCCTTCAGCTCCCCCCCGATTTTCACCTCCCCCGCGCCCACCTGGACCCCGGGGAGTTTGAATTTGGGGCTTTTCAGGTTCACCTCAGGACCTTCAAGATCCGCGTTGAGGCTCGGGCCCTTGACCTCCAGATCGCCCTCGACTTTCGGGACCCCCACCGAGGCCTCCCCGCGGAATTTGTGCGATTTCAGGTCGAATTCGACGTCGGGGAAGGAGATCTTCCCGAACATGGGTTTCTTGCCTTTGGGGGACTTCATGGCGGCGCTGCCCCCGACGGCGACGTCGGGGCTGGGGACGTTGAGCTCGGCGTCCAGCTCGGCGCCCGCCGCGTTCACGTCGAACGCCCCCTTCTTGCCCTTCACTTTGGGGCCGCTCATGTGGATTTTGGGCATCTTGAACTTGCTCTTCTTGCCCTTCCCGGACAGGTGGGCCTCGGGTGACTCCACGTTCAGCTCCGCCTCAGGTAAATCCAGCTCCGCCTTGGGGCTTTTCATTCCGAACCCGAATTTGGACTTTTTAAACTTGGGAGCTTTGATGTTGGCTTCTGGGAGCTCGACGTTCAGGTCAGGACACTCAACATCAACTTCAGGGCCTTTGACCCCGAATTCTGGGCCTTTGAGGTCGACCTCGGGGCCTTTCAGGTGACCTTCCACCTTCGGGGTGGAAATGTCAAAGCCGCCCTTGGTTTTGTGGCCTTTCAGGTTCAAGTCTATCTCGGGCATGGAGATTTTGGGGACGTTCACGTGCATTTCGGGCATTTTCAGTTTCGGACCTTTCACTTTGCCCTCCAGACCTTCAACGTTGACCTCTGGCAGGCTGACATCAACCTTGGGGCCTGACAGATCCACCTCGGCCTTCGGCAAGTCCACGTCCACGTCGGGACCTTCGCCCTTCAAGCCAAATTTGGGCATTTTCATTTTGGGCAGCTTCACTTTCCCCTCCAGACCATCAACATCGACGGCCGGGCCCTCAATGTCGACTTTGGGGCCTTTGATGTCGACCTCGGGGCCCTTCAGACCCCCCTCGAGCTTGGGGCAGTGCAGGTCAGCGTCACCTTTGACCTTCAGGCCCTTCAGGTTCAGGTCGATGTCGGGCATGGAGATCTGGGGGGTCTTGATGTGCATCTCGGGCATCTTGACCTTGGGCCCTTCCAGGGTCACGTCCGGTGCCTGAATGTCCACTTTGGGGCCCTTGAGGTCGACGTCTGGGCACTGCAGGTTCCCCTCCAGCTTGGGGACAGAGACGTCGATGTCCCCCTTGACCTTGGGGCCCTTGAGGTTGAAGTCGACGTCGGGCATGGAGATCTTGGGGGCCTTGATGTGCATCTCGGGCATCTTGAACTTGGGGCCTTTGATCTTCCCCTCGGGCCCTTCCAGCTCAACATCGGGGAGATCAACATCGACTTTGGGCCCCTTGATGTCGATTTCGGGGCCCTTCAGGTCACCCTCGAGCTTTGGGACAGAGACATCAACGTCCCCCTTCAGTTTGGGGCCCTTCAGGTTGAAGTCGACGTCGGGCATGGAGATCTTGGGGGCCTTGATGTTCATCTCGGGCATGGAAAATTTGGGACCTTTCACTTTGCCGTCCACGCTCAGGTCAGGAGCCTCCACGTCCACGCTGGGGCCCGAAATGGACACGTCGCCCTTGGGGAGGGTCAGCTCCGCGTCCACCCCGTCCCCTTTGAATCCAGGCATGGAGAATTTGGGCATCTTGAACTTGGGCAGCTTGAATTTGCCCTCGGGGCTGTCGATGCTGACGTCGGGGGCGGAGACGTTGACCTCGGGACCTTTCAGCTCTCCTTCCACACTGGGCAGGGACACGTCCACGTCACCTTTGACCTTGGGGCCCTTCAGGTTCAGGTCGAGGTCGGGCATGGAGATCTTGGGAGCCTTGATGTGCATCTCGGGCATCTTGAACTTGGGGCCTTTGATCTTCCCCTCCGGCAGCTCCACGTCCACATCTGGACATTCAATGTCCACCTTGGGGCCGGACACGTCCAGGTTTCCTGTCGGGAGGTTCACGTCCACATCGGGACCTTCTGCCTTGACCCCGGGCATCCCAAATTTGGGCATCTTGAACTTGGGGAACTTTATTTTTCCTTCTGGGCCGTGAATGTCCACGTCGGGTGCTTCAATGTCCACTTTGGGGCCCTTGATGTCGATTTCGGGGCCCTTCAGGTCGCTCTCCAGCTTTGGAAGGGACACGTCCACATCGCCCTTGACCTTGGGGCCTTTTAGGTTGAAGTCAATATCAGGCATTGAAATCTTGGGAGCCTTGATGTGCATCTCGGGCATCTTGAACTTGGGGCCTTTGATCTTCCCCTCAGGCCCCTCCAGCTCAACATCGGGGAGATCAACATCGACTTTGGGGCCTTTGATGTCGATGTCTGGGGCTTTCAGGTCTCCTTCCACATTGGGGACAGAGACATCCACGTCTCCCTTTAATTTGGGCCCTTTCAGGTTGAGATCGAAGTCGGGCATGGAGATCTTGGGGGCCTTGATGTTCATCTCAGGCATCTTGAACTTGGGGCCTTTGATCTTCCCCTCGGGGCCCTCGATTTGAACATCTGGGGCAGAAACATCAAATTCGGGGCCTTTCACATCCACTTTTGGCCCTTTCAGGTCTCCTTCCACACTGGGCAGGGACACATCCACGTCTCCCTTCACTTTGGGGCCCTTCAGGTTCAGATCAAAGTCGGGCATGGAGATCTTGGGGGCCTTTTGGGCATCTTGAATTTCCCCTCAGGGCCATGAATGTCCACGTCTGGCACATCAACATCGACTTTGGGGCCCTTGATGTCGATTTCGGGGCCCTTCAGGTCACCCTCCAGCTTTGGGGCAGAAACATCGATGTCTCCCTTCACTTTGGGGCCCTTGAGGTTGAAGTCGACGTCGGGCATGGAGATTTTGGGGGCCTTGATGTGCATCTCGGGCATCTTGAACTTGGGGCCTTTGATCTTCCCCTCTGGCCCTTCAATGTCCACCTCTGGACATTCAATGTCCACCGTGGGGCCTTTGATGTCGACGTCCGGCAAGCTCAGGTCCCCTTCGATTTTTGGTGCGGACAGATCGATGTCCACACCCCCTTTGACCTTGGGGCCTTTCAGGTTGAGGTCCAGGTCCGGCATGGAGAGGTTGGGAGCTTTGATGTTCATCTCGGGCATTTTAAATTTGGGGCCTTTGATTTTCCCTTTCGGACCTTCAACGTCGATGTCGGGAACTTCCACGTCCACCTTGGGTCCTTTCAGGTCCACCTGGGGCAGGGACACGTCCACGTCTCCCTTCACTTTGGGGCCCTTCAGGTTGAGGTCGATGTCGGGCATGGAGATCTTGGGGGCCTTGATGTTCATCTCGGGCATCTTGAACTTGGGGCCTTTGATCTTCCCCTCAGGGCCCTCAATGTCCACCTCCGGACCTTCAATGTCCACTTTAGGACCGGACACGTCCAGTTCTCCTGTCGGCAGGTTCACGTCCACCTCTGGCCCCTCCCCTTTGAACCCGGGAACACCAAATTTGGGCATTTTGAACTTGGGCATTTTGATTTTCCCTTCCGGGCCGTGAATGTCCACGTCGGGGGCCTCGATGTTGACCTTGGGGCCCTTGATGTCCACCTCAGGCCCTTTCAGCTCCCCTTCCAGTTTGGGCGTGGACAGGTCAAACTCCCCCTTCATTTTGTGCCCCTTCAGGTTCAGCTCCACGTCCGGCATCGAGACTTTGGGTGAAGAAATGTTCAGAAAAGGCATTTTGAATTTGGAGCCCTTGGATTTTCCGTGGATATCCAAATCCGGAGCCTGGACCTCGACTTTCGGGCCGGACAGTTCCACCTCAGGTTTTTTAAGCTTCACATCCACCTCGGGGCTTTGAACTTTGGGGCCAGAAAAGCCAAACTTGGGAAGTTTAAACCTGGATTTTTTACCTTTTCCTTCGAGGTCAACCTTCGGCCCCTCCAGCTCGAGCTCCGGCCCCTTGATGTCCACTTTGGGGCCTTTCAGCTCGCCCTCGACCTTGGGAAGAGAAGCATCGAGGTCCCCTTTCAGTTTGGGGCCCTTCAGGTTCAGGTCAATGTCGGGCATGGAGATCTTGGGGACGTTGAACTGCAGCTCCGGCTTCTTGAACTTGGGGCCCTTCAGTTTCCCTTCGGGGCCTTCAATCTCCAGGTCGGGGACAGAAACGTCGACTTTTGGACCCGAAATGTTGACCTCGGCCTCGGGGAGGTTCATGTCCACGTCGGGGCCTTCCACTTTGGGGCCAGAAAAGCCAAATTTGGGCATCTTGAATTTGGGCATTTTAACTTTCCCTTCTGGACCATGAATGTCCACGTCGGGTGCCTCAACGTCAACTTTGGGGCCCTTGATGTCGATTTCAGGGCCCTTGAGGTCACCTTCCAGCTTTGGGACAGAGACGTCGATGTCCCCCTTGACCTTGGGGCCCTTCAGGCTGAAGTCAACGTCGGGCATGGAGATCTTGGGGGCCTTGATGTGCATCTCGGGCATCTTGAACTTGGGACCTTTGATCTTCCCCTCGGGACCTTCCAGCTCAACATCGGGGAGGTCAACATCGACTTTGGGGCCTTTGATGTCGATGTCTGGGGCTTTCAGGTCACCCTCGAGTTTGGGAGCAGAAACATCGACATCTCCCTTCAATTTGGGGCCTTTCAGGTTGAAGTCAACATCAGGCATGGAGATCTTGGGGGCCTTGATGTGCATCTCAGGCATCTTGAACTTGGGGCCTTTGATCTTCCCCTCCGGCAGCTCCACATCCACCTCTGGACCTTCGATGTCCACCTTGGGGCCGGACACATCCAGTTCTCCTTTTGGGAGGTTCACGTCCACATCGGGGCCTTCTGCTTTGACCCCAGGCATCCCAAATTTGGGCATCTTGAACTTGGGGAACTTTATTTTTCCTTCTGGGCCATGAATGTCCACGTCTGGCGCATCAATGTCCACTTTGGGGCCCTTGATGTCCAGTTCAGGCCCCTTGAGTTCACCCTCCAGCTTTGGAAGGGACACGTCCACGTCACCCTTGACCTTGGGGCCCTTCAGGCTGAAGTCAACATCGGGCATGGAGAACTTGGGGGCCTTGATGTGCATCTCGGGCATCTTGAACTTGGGGCCTTTGATCTTCCCCTCAGGCCCCTCCAGCTCAACATCGGGGAGATCAACATCGACTTTGGGGCCTTTGATGTCCAGCTCAGGGCCCTTCAGGTCCCCTTCCACTTTTGGAAGGCAAACATCGACATCACCCTTGACCTTGGGGCCTTTGAGGTTGAGGTCGATGTCGGGCATGGAGATCTTGGGGGTCTTAAAATGCATCTCGGGCATCTTGAACTTGGGACCTTTGATCTTCCCCTCCGGGCCCTCAATGTCCACACTCGGCATCTCAACATCCACCTTGGGGCCGGACACATCCAGGTCTCCTTTTGGGAGGTTCACGTCCACCTCGGGGCCTTCTGCCTTGACCCCGGGCATCCCAAATTTGGGCATCTTGAACTTGGGGAACTTTATTTTTCCTTCTGGGCCGTGAATGTCGACGTCGGGTGCTTCAATGTCCACTTTGGGGCCCTTGATGTCGATTTCGGGGCCCTTCAGGTCACCCTCCAGCTTGGGGACAGAGACATCGATGTCACCCTTGACTTTTGGGCCCTTGAGGTTGAAGTCAACATCGGGCATGGAGATCTTGGGAGCCTTGATGTGCATCTCGGGCATCTTGAACTTGGGACCTTTGATCTTCCCCTCGGGACACTCCAGCTCAACGTCGGGGAGATCAACATCGACTTTGGGGCCTTTGATGTCGATGTCTGGGGCTTTCAGGTCACCCTCGAGTTTGGGAGCAGAAACATCGACATCTCCCTTCAATTTGGGGCCTTTCAGGTTGAAGTCAACATCAGGCATGGAGATCTTGGGGGCCTTGATGTGCATCTCAGGCATCTTGAACTTGGGGCCTTTGATCTTCCCCTCTGGACATTCCAGCTCCACGTCGGGCACCTCGACATCGACTTTTGGACCTTTAAGTGACACCTCCGGCCCTTTCAGGTCCCCTTCGAGCTTTGGCACGGACACATCAACGTCACCTTTGACTTTGGGGCCCTTCAGGTTCAGATCAAAGTCTGGCATGGAGATCTTGGGGGCCTTGAAGTGCATCTCGGGCATCTTGAACTTGGGGCCCTTCACCTTCCCCTCTGGGAGATCAATGTCCACGTCGGGAGCTTCGATGTCCACCTTGGGGCCTTTGATGTCCACGTCTGGGCCCTTCAGGTCACCTTCCAGTTTGGGGGCGGAGATGTCCACGTCTCCCTTCAGTTTGGGGCCTTTCAGGTTGAGGTCGATGTCGGGCATGGAGATCTTGGGGGTTTTGAAGTGCATCTCGGGCATCTTGAACTTGGGGCCCTTCAGTTTCCCCTCAGGACACTCCAGGTCGACGTCGGGAAGGTTGACATCAACTTTGGGGCCCTTGATGTCAATGTCTGGGCCCTTCAAATCTCCCTCAATTTTCGGGACGGACACATCCACGTCTCCCTTGACTTTGGGGCCAGGTCACCCTCCAGCTTGGGAGCAGAGACATCCACATCCCCCTTCACTTTGGGGCCCTTGAGGTTGAGATCGAAGTCGGGCATGGAGATCTTGGGGGCCTTGA